GAAACTGTACGTTTATGTCACTGGAATGCACTAATCCCCCCAAAAATTTACCGCCACCCGGCGTGTAAATGGATCTAACTCTTTGAACGTACAATAGTGGTTGTGAAGCAGAAAGTCAGTTTATTTAGCACAATCGGTCAATTGCAGCTTGCCGTTGGCTGGAAACTGTACGTTTAGGTCACTGGAATGCACTAATCACCCAAAAAATATTACCGCCACACCCGGCGTGTATATGGATTTAACTCTTTGAACGTACAATAGTGGTTGTGAAGCAGAAAGTCAGTTTATTTAGCACAATCGGTCAATTGCAGCTTGCCGTTGGCTGGAAACTGTACGTTTCTGTCACTGGAATGCACTAATCACCCAAAAAATATTACCGCCAGCCGGCGTGTAAATGGATTTAACGCTTTGAACGTACAATAGTGGTTGTGAAGCAGAAAGTCAGTTTATTTTGCACAATCCGCAAACTGCAGCACTAACTGTGCACGACAGCCACCAAAAAAAAAAAAAGGGTGTATGTCACTTTAAATTTTCGATTCTTTAGATGAGTAACGATTCTGTGGCCCTGAGTAACGATTCTGTGTCCCTGAGTAACGATTCTGTGTCCCTGAGTAACGATTCTGTGTCCCTGTGTAACGATTCTGTGTCCCTGTGTAACGATTCTGTGTCCCTGAGTAACGATTCTGTGTCCCTGAGTAACGATTCTGTGTCCCTGAGTAACGATTCTGTGTCCCTGAGTAACGATTCTGTGTCCCTGAGTAACAATTCTGTGTCCCTGAGTAACGATTCTGTGTCCCTGAGTAACAATTCTGTGTCCCTGAGTAACGATTCTGTGGCCCTAAAGTCTCTGTGCCCTAACTCTGTCCCTTAATACAGACAGGTCTGTCTCTCTTGAATGACCGGAGGCTAATGGAGAATTCTAAGATGGCCGCGATTTATAGCTCCACCATTACACAGTGCTGGCTGGGTGCTGATTGGCTAATGCGATCACATGTCATGATTCATAACTCATGAATGCATTATGGGTCAGCGCGCCTTGTCTGCGCGCCTTTCCAGAGATCCCCGCCCCATCTTCTCTGTCCATTTTCTCCTGTCGCCACACATGTCGCCGCCATTTTTGGGAAAATTCGATTCGTGCATCCGAAGTTTGCTAATCTTCGGATTCGTCGCGAATAGAATTTTTCCAAATCTTCGGAACGAATTCCACTTCGTCATGTTCGATTCGCTCATCTCTAGTCAGTATGTACTGCCTACCTGATATATATCAATGTGTCAGATAAAAGAAATTTGTTTAAATAAAATATTGATCTTTTTAATAATTGGTTTCTCTGTATATACTTCAAGGTTAAAAATCCCACAAAATGTAAGGCAAAAATTCTCTCTGTATGGAAATAGGGATGATGGCAACCACACCCTACGCTACACTGATTGACTTCTTAAGACTGCAATGGTAAGATTTATTGGCCATAGTTTGTATCTTTGCTTGTCATGGAAACGCACACCCACAGCGACTAGCTAATCGGGACGTGGTCCTTGAATTGGGCTAAAAGAATGGGAGGGAGCTTACTTTTAGCAATAAGACCAGCTGTGACACACTTTCACAGCCCGCACTAGACTCCATTCCAAAACAACTGCCTGACTACACACAGACAGATACGAATATAACATACAATCTAGTGCACTCTAAGGGTTGGGGAGCAGTCTAGCAATTAGCACACCCTTCTAGGATTCCTCCAGCTATCTTACAAGCTAGAACCCCGGTGTTAATCATTCTTCCTACTACTCACATATACTCCAACACTAGACACACACATCAAATGGTAGCTTGCCACCACCGAACTGTTTGTCTGCAGACTGGTCTGCTAGGCAACCACACACACACAGATCTCCATCTGGCAGATCTGCTACTTTACAGTATGTATGCAATCTGCCAGTGCACGGTGTAATTGTATACAAATTGGCAATGAACTCAGACCGAGCACATAGACAATAAAATACATCAATCTCTCCAGAGATATGAGTCCTAGCTTAGTACACAGAAGTCACTTATTAATTTTATGATTTAATATACCAAAAGTGGCCAGTGCATAAAATATATATAAAGAAAAAGAATTAAAAAAAAAAAGATAAAAAGACAAAATAATTAAATTAAAACTCATAAATTTCCCACATGAAAAGTCAACCTTTCACCCTTGAAAGTGCATAAACTAATTACCTTTTCATAATTCTACAAACATATACCATAATCTCATATAATCAACATAATATCCAAAAAAAGTCCCACACACAAAAAAAAAAGTCCAAAATAAAGTCCAAAAATATGAAATTAAAAATGTGCAAATAATACTCCACACTTCTTCAATCTTCCAACTGTGACAATGTCCAAATCTTCCCTCCAAAGTACCTCAAAAAAACATACTAGATATAGTGCATTATCTTTTTTAAAAAATCAATAAACGTGATAGCATGCAACACACTAGTGACATAACATCACACATGTGAAAAACAACACACCACTTAACTAGTGGTCCTGTGAAGCCACCACTGCAATACGTGACAATCTACAGAACACAATAAGTGATCAGTGACAAATGGTGTCAAATACGTGCCACTCAGCATGTAGGATAATATACAATTACCCCTAAACTTTGTGCCACATATAGTCGCCTTCACTGGGGGTATGGCACACTTACAAAGGATATGCTTTTACCGGATTTCTGTCTTGTGAATTGTTGATTGTGGTGGCTCCTTGCAGACAGTGTACCAAGAATTTTGGGAATCTGCGAGAATGCTCATACAACTTCTTGAGGGCTAACTGATATCTGCTGTTGTTGCTACATGTTACTAAACCTTGATGAAATGCCCGTCATTGTGTGAGGAAGTGATTTAATTGTCTACTACTGTCAAGGATGGCATACCCCCAGTGAAGGCGACTATATGTGGCACAAAGTTTAGGGGTAATTGTATATTATCCTACATGCTGAGTGGCACGTATTTGACACCATTTGTCACTGATCACTTATTGTGTTCTGTAGATTGTCACGTATTGCAGTGGTGGCTTCACAGGACCACTAGTTAAGTGGTGTGTTGTTTTTCACATGTGTGATGTTATGTCACTAGTGTGTTGCATGCTATCACGTTTATTGATTTTTTAATAAAGATAATGCACTATATCTAGTATGCTTTTTTGAGGTACTTTGGAGGGAAGATTTGGACATTGTCACAGTTGGAAGATTGAAGAAGTGTGGAGTATTATTTGCACATTTTTAATTTCATATTTTTGGACCTTATTTTGGACTTTTTTTTGTGCGTGGGACTTTTTTTGGACATTATGTTGATTATATGAGATTATGGTATATGTTTGTAGATTATGAAAAGGTAATTAGAAAAAGACAAAATTGGCTGTTCACTATGAAAATAAAAAGGGATAAAAACAGAAATAAAACTTTTACCAAGATTTATTCTGTGACTGGAGCAAGTCAGAAAAAAGTCCACAATTCACTAGTCAAATGGACCCAGCTCCTTATTAATCACCCCATCCATATCTCAGGGTCCTCAATTTATTGAAATATGGATGTGGGCTGGACTTTAGCTCTTGACAATTCAACCCCGGGGGATGTTCACGTCCCAGCCCACAGGACATTTAGTGTTCAGAAGAGACCAGAGTTGAATGGGCCCTGGACAGCTCCGATGGCTGGTTCAAGGATAGGATTTCCGACACTAGCGCATCAGTCTGATTTTGACAGTGCCAATCACTGCCTGGCTGCCGTGATCAGGCACCTTATAACTATTTTGTGTTTTTTTCCAAGGATTCTACATACGCTACAAATACAGTTTTACATGTATGTGTAGCCTAAAATGTGTCCAATCAGAAGGAATTATTTTCATCTCTTTGCAACTAATATTTTAGCTTTTATGAGAGATAAAATAGATTCCTCTGATCTGTCAATATAAATCAAAGCTGGCAGACAGTGCAGGGCCCTCTAACTGTCCCCTGCTGACTCGTGTAGCCCAAATCGCTAGGACTTTTCTTTTCATTTCAGGAAGGTGACAAATCCATGTCTACTTGGATGAGAAAGTTTTATTGGGACCTAGGTGTCAATTCTAGCCTAGAAGCTTGCTCTGTCCTTACAAATGCTACCTGAATAACATATGTCTATGACTGATTAAGGAATACTGTATCTCTAATAACGCAGGCCTAAAATATATCTATAATTATACTACTTCTACAGATCACACCACACCTCAGCTATTGATAAAATGATTCTACTCTTACATATATGTTACATTGCCCCATTCTGTAAAGTCATAGTAAAGGTGTCAACATAATAATGTTGAATCCTTAGGGGTGCTGCAGTTGGGAAGAAACGTGATTTCACAAAAGGGACACCTTGCCAATGAACTGAGAAAGTTATTTAACCACTAGCCTACTGGGCACTTATACCCCCTTCCTGCCCAGGCCAATTTTCAGCTTTCACTGCTGTCGCAGTTTGAATGACAATTGCGCGGTCATGCAACACTGTACCCATATGAAATTTTTATCATTTTTTTGAGACAGATAGAGCTTTCTTTTGGTGGAATTTAATCACCTCTGGGTTTTTTATTTTTTTGCTAAACAAACCAAAAACAACTGAAAATTAAAAAAAAAAAAAAAGATTTTTATCTTAGTTTTTGTTTTAAAATTTTGTAAATAAGTGATTTTTCTCCTTCACTGAGATGCGCTAATGAGGCTGCAGTGTTGGGCACTGATAGGTGGCACTGATGAGGAGGCACTGGAAGGTGGCACTGATGGGCACTGACAGGCATCACTGATGGGCACTGAAAGGCAGCACTCATATATGGCACTGATAGGCGGCACTGATAGGTGGTACTGACTGTCACTGATAGGCGGCACTGACTGGCACTGTTAGGTGGCAATGACAGGCACTGATAGACGGCACTGACTGGCATTGATAGGCCGCACTGACTGGCACAGATAGGTGACACTGAAAGGCAGCTTAGATGAGCACTGATATGTTGCATTGATGTGCACTGATATGTGGCATTGATGTGGCACTGATGGGCACTGTCAGGTGGCACTGATGAGCACTGACAGCTGGCATTGATGGACACTGACAGGTGGCACTGCTGGGGCTACACTGATCATCAGGGCACACTGATCATCAGTGCCCTGATGATCAGTGTGCATGTCCCCTCCAAGGAATGCCGATTACCAGCTCTCCTCTCCTCTCGAGCTGTCAGCGTGACAGCTCGTGAGGAGAGAAAAGCTGATAACCGGCATTTCCCTATTTACATGAGATCAGTTGTGATTGGACACAGCTGATCACATGACGAGCCAAAATCTTTGGCTCTTTCCGTTGATTGGTGATCCGCTGTGTCCGAGTGAACTCCCGGAGCCGCGCATGCACGGTTAGAATGGGAGGATGTCATATGACGTCCTCCCAGAAAGAGAGAACCACCTTGCGCCCGTCATTGCCTTATAAGGCGGGCAGGAGGTGGTAAATAGCGAGCAAAACTAGCAAAACTAGCATATACATTTGGGTAGGGTTGCAGTCAATGATGTTATGCTAGGAGTCAGGTGTTTATGAAAATTTCCGAAATGCGTGTTCAAGAGTAATGCCACTTTTGTTGAGGAAAAAAAAACCCAAAACATTCCCCTCTGGGTGACCACTGTACATAGCAAGGAATTTAAGAAAACTTGTTGCAGATTCCTACCTTTTGTTATTCTGAAGAAATAGCTGTTTGTTTGTCTGTCTGTTTGTCTGATAAGAGTGTTTAGTACCACCTTACCTTCATTTTAAGCTACTAGTCCTTCTAACGCTACCCTCTCCAGACAATATTGCTGTCCAAGGGTGCTTCTGTTGCTTTCTCATATATAGTGGAACCATCCAAAAGACAGGAAGTGTGTTACTGGCTGTAATACTAGTGAAAATAAATTTAAAAAAATGGAAAACTACTGCAGACATAACACCTAAGCATTTGTAAGCTGCAATATATTACATTTTTATTTTTGGGTCTAGATACACTTTACAAAATGACTCACAAATGTACAGGACAAAAAAATGGAAACACTACATGATTTGCAGGTGTGAAAGTGACGACATATTTTGAGTTGACAGTGGAAGTGCTGTAACATTCTTTTGCTTCCGCTGTGATATGAGACACCTAGCTAACAAGTAGGAAGCCTCACTTTTGTCATTCACTGTGTGCGCTGTTAGTAATACAGAGTCATGTCAGAGCTTGCTGAGCTTCAAAGAGGGCACATTGTTGGTGGCTGCATAACTGGTGCCCTTGCGACTGAAGTTGCCAATATATTTGCAGTATCGCAAGGTACCGTATTAAAGGTTATGACGGCATATACCATTTCCGAGCAAACGTCCGTGATAAGCATAAGCGCGTACAAGCGACATAGTCAACTGACTGAAAGAGACAAAGGACACTGCATGGGATTGTGACCAGGAATAAGAAAACAACTGCTGCAAAAGTGATTGCAGAGCTCAATCTCAGTCCTGTGAAACTCTGCTTTTTTACAAAAGATTTTAACAATCCAATAAGTGCTAGAAATGCATTCATCCAATGATGTTAAAGTATAACTAAAGGCAAAACTTTTTTTTACATTTTTGACAGAGTAGAGAAGGATTAGAAGACATGTCACTTTTTTATTGCTTTCTGTGCCATTACTAGGGAGATTCACCTTCTTTATTAGTCTTCTTTACCATTTTCAACAAAAGTAAAAAAAAAAATCCCAAATTTTGATTTGTTCCCAGAACAGGAATAGTGGGAATATCTAATGGGGACACTAGTTCTGGCAACAACCAAGAATTCTTTCACTTTAGAGTGATTTTCTCTTACTTCCTGGCTATGGGATAGGAAGTAAAGGGAAAAAATGGCAAAAACAAACCTTACAGGGGTTTTAACCATCCAATCTGTCATCCAAAATAAAAAAACAAGTTTTGCCCTTAGTTCTATTTTAAAAAAAAACAAACTTCTACTTTAAAAAAACAAACAAACTGACTATTTGTTATATAATCTTGCAGTAAAGCATGTTTCAGAACTTGGTTCAAACCATGCTTAAAAAAACTGCTCAGCTAGAAACACATTTATTTCAGAATTTGAAATAAATGGTCCAGCACACTGTTGGAAGAATGGGTAGATATCAGAAATTTCACTGAATTTGATGACAAAGCTTCTGTATTACCAGTCTAAAATTTGCCATACACATTCTCTTCTCAGATAAAGGTGATCCATATCTAAGATTCAGTTATCCAGGAATGGTTGAGGAGGAAAACAACAAAATGTTCATATAAAAACTGCTAAATATTAAGGCCTGTTTCACACTAGCAATTTCAGATGTGAATTGAGTTGCACAGAATTGCATGACAGGGGAAATCACATTTTTTTCAAAGGAGTCCATTCACATCAATGCAACAGGGCACAGAGCAATTTTGGAAAAGGTTCCCGTACTCCTTTGGTGTGATTTCAGCATGATTTTGTCCTCCCAGATTTCATTGGAAACACACAGAAATTGCATGCACTGTACATAAGATTCTGATGTCATTTGGAAAACGATTTCATGGTTTTGTTTATTAGCCCTCAACTCTCCCCCCATTAAAATCCTTGGTCCCTAAAAGGTGGTAGTGGTAGACAAAATTAGTAAAATATGCACAGGCATCAAATCACAGCAAAATCACAAAGAAGTTGCACTATGTAATTGCACCCGAAATCAGACCAAAATTGCATCACACTGGTGTGAACCAGGCCTTAAAGATGTGGCCCCTTCGGCAATCACATCTTCCACCCTGGCATTCTGAAATCTTAGCAGATATACCTAGGCTTCAATATCTAGGGGCTGCCATCAGAGAAGATCTAAAATGACACTACCTGGCAGTTTATAAGGACCTTTACCTTAACATAATACCTTAACATAATATATATGTTGAAAAACACTGATATATAAAATAAACTATTGGTGTATTACTATGGCTTACATACCTGACAATTTCATCAGAAAATCAGAAGCCATCTTGACAGAGATATCTTGGGTGAAAAGAGATGAGGGACATGTAACAAAGTCCAAAGAATCTTTAAGCTTCATGCTGCTGTTGCTGTTGGGTCTTTCAATGAAGGGCACCACAGAGGGGCAGTCACTGTCTTTTGGCTCCTCTTTGATAGGTAGTGAACTGGCAGGTACAGAATTGATCTGGCTTAAAGTTTCAGGAAGAAGAGAGTTCTGACCAGGTGAGGTACTTCCCTCATCATGGCTTCCCAAGGAGTTATTAAAAGGAGATCCTTTTATGTCAACATCATTGGGCTCTTCCTTCACTTTGGCCTCTGCCCGTAGGAAATGCTGATGGCATCGCATGTGTAGTTTTAAGCTGAAATGGCGTGAAGAGGTGAAAGGGCAAAGCTGACATTGGAAAGTCTCCCCTCTGTCCTGGTGCTGATGGACCTGATGGAGAGATCAATAGTCAAAACATTTGAGCTACTTTGGTCAACATCACATTAAATAATATCACCTAAGCAATTTTAGATTATGCCCCTCCCAGGTAATAAATTGCTGTATACCACAATGACCACAAACTCTGTTTTCCTTCAAAGTAGAAGTAAAGGCTATTTTTTTATTTTGGATAGAGTAATGGAGGGTTATAACACTTGACTTTTGTTTTTCCAACTGTGTCCCATTGGAGAGATTCCCCTTCACTTCCTGCCCCATAGCAAAAACAACCCTTAGTTGCCACTAGGATCAAAAACGTTCCCATTGGGCGATTTCCCCTCTAGTCCTGTTCTGGTGACAGCCCAACATTTAAGATTTTCTTTCACTTTCACTGATTAACAGCAACCAGGACAAACAGGGAGGGTGTATCTCCTTAACGGGGGGGGGGGGGGGCACAGACAGTAATAAAAACCTGGCATGTATTCTAATCACTCTCCACTCAATCCAAAGCGAAAAATAAATGTTTTGTCTATAGATATATTTTATGTATAACTGGCAATATACAGTACAATTTTATTTGGGCCATTCAATACTTTTACCATTAGTCATGTAATACACGGATCGGATCATCTGTTTTTTTTTTTTGTTTTTTTTTTTTTTAGCACCGGCACAACAATTAAATCCTTGACGAATTTGTGAAACTGTTCAATTAAAAAAATTCCACTGTGCATGGCTAACGTTACCTTACAGCACTGCTAAGTTTTCAAATAACCCCTTCTCTACATGTTATTACCTGTATAAATATATTCCTACCCTTTATTAGTCTTTCTCCGCAATAAAGCTAGTTCTGCAATTCTTTATCAGGTAAGCTTTACCAAAACACCAATAAGTATGCATGGAGACTATTACATATTGATTTCATAAATTTTATGGCTAAACTTGGTGGTGCTGTTTTTCTTAATTCAGAGAACAGTAATATCCTGCAGCTTTAGAACTTCCACTTGCCAGATGACAGTTTAAAGAAGTGGTTTTGCATACACAGTGCACAGGAAAGAGGAAGCTGAGTTGTATTTGCCAGCTACAGCATCATGACTGGGCAAACTCATCAACCAAATGACAGAGATGTGCCAAATGAATGAATAAATCTCCACTGCATTATAGAATTCTTACTTCATCACGAATATAACTTGTATATCTTTTTACATGCCTAAGCAAAAAACATAATAAAATGACCATTAGAAGGTAAGGCGGAATCTATGCCCCCCCCCCCCCCCCAAAACAAAAAGGTGACAATACCAATAAAACTATAAGTATAATTTGGAGCTAGATATAACAGAAAACCTGAAGTCAGACAAGTGCTGCCCTATTGACTGCCTGACCTCATGATGATTGGTTTGCATGGGGTTGACTCACTGTTATTTCAGAGAACCCAACGTCAAACTATGCCCAAACTGAACCACATTCTTGGTCACATGCCTGATGAAGGGGTCCTGCAAGACTCCGAAATGTTGCTCTCGCTGTAACTATGTGATTGCTTATTAAAGCCTCGGACCCATATTGGAGAACCTCAGTGTGCTGATGACATTCTTCCCCTGTGATGCTTCTCCGTTCTAGCTGACGGTCACTGCAGCAGCCACCTACATATATAGCCACTCTTTGATGCAGGAACGTGTGCATTGGGATTGTGTAATTCTTTTCATTATGTCCTCAGGACACAACAGATCCTGGTAACTGGCCACTATGAGTAAACGACTGTTATGAATGAGTGTATTGTTATTGGCAAACAGCTATCAAATGGTACCTGGGCCAATCATAGTATTCTGTACCCTGTGATAGCTGTGGGCCAATCACAGCACACAATAGTAATCACAGCTGTTTTGAATGAACCCATTCATGACAGTTCAAAACACTGCTGTTAAAGTGACCACCACTATAACAACAAAGTGTAAAAGAAAAAAAAAATAAAACCTGATTATATATATATATATATATATATATATACACACACACACACAGTATATATATATATATATATATATATATATATATATATACACACACAGACTATTTCCTTTAGTAAGAAATGTGCACACTGTCAGTGCTGTATAAACTGTATGTAGCTCTGTTTTCCACCGACAGTATAGGGTTTTCCCATCCTGTTCCCAGAACAAAATTAAGGCGGGCATTCACATAAAAGATTTGTACTTATGAACAAATACAAGGCTTCCTCTTATTGGCTGAGGTGGAGAGGCAGGTAGATGATTTCCCGATCTCTACCTCAGCCATACAGAGGAAGCCCTGTATTCATTTCAGGAAAGGGATGGGGAAACCTGGAGTTAGACTTTAATTCAGTCAAGTCCATCCAAATCTGCTAGTGCATCTAACGCTACCATCTTCCCAGATGCTGCTGTCCAAGGTGTCTCTGTAGCTGACCCTAAGACGTGAAGTTTGTTACTGGCCAGACCACTAGGTGAAAATTAAAATTTAAACCAAGAAAAAAAAAAAAGATTTAAATGAAACTAATGCATATATCCCGTTTAAGGACTGGTAAGCTGCAATATAATACATTGTTTTGTTTTGGGGTTTAATACTAATACTGCTTTAACCTCACTGTTAAAACCTATCAACCTCCAACTACAGAACTGCATGTAGGGGGAAGCTAGAGTTCTGTGTGAGGCCCATACATCTTCTTTTAGCATAATAAGACATGCAGATGTAATCAATATTAAATTTCAGTGTCTTCTTATGAGCAATTCAATATAAGGTAGGCAGCTGTAGAATTAATTAGTCCCTCTGTGTTTATATTTGGTAAAAATAATCCATACAGCAAAGTAGAGATAAAATAATCAAGAATACGGTACATTTGAGCAGAATATGGCTTTGATGCAAGCTGGCTAATCAATATATGATTCAAGTTGGCTAATCAACGTACGCATTTCAGGCCTGTTATATTTCTCTACATCAGAAAAAAAAGTGAAAATATATAGGCTCATCGATTTAATTTTTTTAAATTCTACCTCCAGCATCACTGAGCTAACCAAATAAGTTGACAGCAGAATTAGTATACAGTACAAAGTCCTGTTGTATCAGAGACGAAAGATTAACAGTGCAGAAATAATTATCCGTAGTCCATATATAGCTTGTTAAAACAGCTACAGATTTAAAGTTAAAGTAAAAATACAACAGCACATATCGAGCGCCCAGCTATAAAGCATCAACTATGAAAAAAAAAACTACCTAGAAAATGCTTTTGTGAACTCCGATTCTACAGGGATACTTAGATGTTTCTAGGTAATTGAAAGGTTGTCAAACCATTCCACTCAGTTTTTTGACTATATGTTTGCTGGAAAACTGCATGTCTGAGGATGGAATTTCGGGTAACTCCCCACCCCCCGTCTATAACAGGCTTTTTATTTGAAGCATCCATTTTTCTCTGGGAATTAGTACCATATAGAATAACTCAGAATAAACCAAAGCAGCTATGAAAAGCTAATAATGTCAAAACAGTAACAAAGGTTAGCATAGAATGAAGGGTTTTTAAACTGTATATGAGATTTTGGGTTTAGATGTCTGCATACAGTATCACTTCATAATAACTGCAAAAATAAATACATTATTAAAGATAAAAAAATAAAAACAGGAGGAAGTTTATGAAGTAGATACCATATTCACAGAGAATATCAATCGTGTTTCTACTATTTGGCGAAAATTATTAAAAAAAGAAAAAAAATGTAATTTCAAAATGATCAACAAAGCTTTTGCTAGTACAACTTCATATGTTAGAACATTTTTAACCAACCTTACATACAAGTAATCATCATAACTCAAGCCTCTATAGTAAATAGAAATGCATAAAAAGTGAATCAACTTCGGAGGGTGATCAAAACTCCATATAGGTTATGGTAATCTCTGACGCCAGGCCTGACAAAAAGTTTCACTTTAGTTTTAATTTTCTCCTTTACCTTATTGTTATGGGCCTTACACTATAAGTCTCAATGGGACCCTTTTGGCTATCATTGACTGACAATTGTCCTGGAAAGTTGTATTTTGTGCATTGTTTGCATCAGCCCAGACGGGTGGCAGTTTATGGAAAATGGATGTATAACTTTCTGGATTGGCTTGCAACGTCTTCTTTTATAAAACAAACAAACATCATTGAAAATAAAAAGTGAATCAACTTCTAACAATAACCAGGTCCGATACTCATTGAAAGTGTTACTAAACCCAGGGCCCTGCATTCACTATATCTGGTCTCCTACAGTACACAGAACATGGAAATGCAATTACTTTAGTAAATATAAACTGCTAAATACCTTTTCTCATCAACAGTATATAGCAGTCTTCGTCAGACCAAGCACTGGTTAAAACTTGAAGGAGGAGTTTTCATTCTCCTCTGACTGTCCTTTGAGGCTGCATGATCACTGACCCTCCATCTGGCTAGTGCTGGCAGTGTGCTGGTCACATGCACCCCCCCCCCCCCCCCCCCCATCAGCAGAAGTGTGCCTCCTAGGGCTCTGTACCATCAGGAAAAAGGGGAGGATCATAGGAAAAAAGGATCAAACAGCCTTTTAACACAATGCAAAGTATTAACCCCTTAGGTATAAAAAGTATGTTTTACTGCATATACAGACCAGGGGCGGATTGACAACTCATGGGGCCCCCGGGCAATAGGAAATCATGGGGCATCTGTGTCCTCGCCCACACTCAAGCCACACCCAAAAAAGCCTATGAAAGGTACTCATGGGGTCCCATACTGACTCCGGGCCCTCGGGCAGTGCCTGAGTGGCTAAATGGTCAGTCCGCCCCTAATACAGACTGATTTTACTGTTGTGGGTTTAGTAACACTTTAAATAAGGCAGACTGGCAATGATTTCTCAAGTTATTTTGTGTTGTAAACACAATGCAATCTTTAGCTTTTTATGCAATTGTAATCTCACCTTCATGTGCGATTTCAGATTGTCCTTGCGGGCACAACGAAATGGACATAGTGGACACTGATGGCTTTTTAAACCTGTGTGAATCACCATGTGCCTTTTCCAATAACTTTTCCGTTTTATTACTAGTCCACAGATGGGGCATTGGAAAGGCTTTCCTCCCTCTTCTTCTGGAGCTTTTACAAAGAAGCATGAAAGAAAGGAAAACAAAACAAAAGGTACAAGATTTACATATAGTAAACAAAAAACATATAAAATACATTGATATTACATGTACAAGATTTTCTATTTCAATCCCAGCTCCAGTCAATTTTGTTATTATCACCTGGGAGTTTTTTTCCTGGAGAAAAAAAAAAAAAAAAGCATCTCTGGCTACAAAACGTACCTTCAATACAAACCCTCTTCAAATAGTACCCATTCACCAGAAGATGTCCTCAGTCTTAGGTCTCAAGCACACTGGACATTTCGCTAACTCTCCTAGATGCTTTTCCTCCTGTCAGCGACATTTTACCAGAAAAAAAATGCTTGATGCTTGTAAAATAATTTACCGTAGGTGCATTTAGCCACGTCAAACGTTTGGGCGTTAAATCATTTCATTGGCCACAATAATAATTTATTCTGGCCATTGAAAAGAATTATTGCTCAATGCTCAAGTGTTTTCTTTCTGCTAAAAACACTGCTGCTCCTGCATGCGCTGGCAGTGGGTTTTTTTCTGCCTCTAAACACTTCTAAAAGCCTATGTGTGCATGAACATATAGGCTAACATGCAGGGGAATTTAGAGACACCAGATGCCCCAAGGAGCAACTGAAAAAACAATTAGTGTGTATGAGTCCTTAAGGGTTGTGCCACTAATCATTCATTCTGGAAGTGTGACTGCAGGGAGTGTCATGTCCCGCCCCCATGCATGGCATCATGCATTCACAGTGTATTGATGCAATAGTGCTGACATCACATCAGTGTTGCTCTGTGTATCATCCAGGACTGCTCACCACCAGGAAAAGACTAAAGAAGTGGACCTAGCATGTCAAGGGACCAGCTAGAAGCATCAGAAATGTGCAAAAAATGCAGAAGATATTGTTGGAAAAGGCCTCAAGGGGGGCTCCTCTGAGATGGTTGCAGGGCACACAGCTGGGAGTTGGGCTAAGTAAGTATATTCAAGTTGAGTTGACAAGGATGAAAAGCAATGGGCTTATTCAGTAAAAGTACATGGGGCATATAGTAATATACAGTTGTGTTCAAAATAATAGCAGTGTGTTGAAAAAAGTGAATAAAGCTCAAAATCCTTCTAATAGCTTTTATTTCCATACACACAAATGCATTGGGAACACTACACATTCTATTCCAAATCAAAACATGAAGAAAAAAAAATGTCAAATTTGTGTTGTTCCTCTAAATAAAATTAAAGAAAAGTGAATATTAGACTGTTCAAAAAAAAATAGCAGTGTTTGTATTCTTCTTTACAAACTCAAACATTCACTATATAAACTGAAAAATGTTTGAAGATTTTGCTTTCCTTTGAATCACTTAATTAATATTTAGTTGTATAAGCACTGTTTCTGAGAACTGCTGTACATCTGTGTTGCATGGAGTCAACCAACTTCTGGCACCTGTGAACAGGCATTCCAGCCCAGGATGATTGGACTACATTCCACAGTTCTTCTCTATTTCTTGGTTTTGCATTTTTGATGTCACCCCACAAGTTTTCTATTGGATTAAGATCCGAAGATTGGGCTGGCCACTCCATAATGTCAATCTTGTTGGTCTGGAACCAAGATGTTGCACGTTTACTGGTGTGTTTGGGGTCGTTGTCTTGTTGGAACACCCATTTCAAGGGCATTTCCTCTTCAGCATAAGACAGCATTACCTCTTCAAGTATTCTGATGTATTCAAACTGATCCATGATCCCTTGTATGCGATAAACAGGCCCAACACCGTAGTATGAGAAACATCCCCATATCATGATGCTTGCGCAACCATGCTTCACTGTCTTCACAGTGTACTGTGGCTTGAATTCAGTGTTTGGGGGTCGTCTGATAAACTGTGTCCGGCCACTAGACCCAAAAAGAACAATCTTACTTTCATCAGTCCACAAAATGTTGCGCCATTTCTCTTTAGGCCAGTCAATGTGCTCTTTGGCAAATTGTAACCTCTTCAGCGTGTCTTTTTTTCAACAGTGGGACTGTGCGGGGGCTTCTTGCAGATAGCTTGGCTTCACATAGGTGTCTTCTAATTGTAACAGTACTCGCAGGTAACTTTAGACCTTCTTTGATCTTCCTGGAGCTGATTGTTGGCTGAGTCCTTGCCATTTTGGCTATTCTTCTATCCATTCGAATGGTAGTTTTTCGCTTTCTTCCACGTCTTTCAGGTTTTGGTTGCCATTTTAAAGCATTTGCGATCATTTTAGCTGAGCAGCCTATCATTTTCTGCACTTCTTTATATGTTTTCCCCTCTCCAATCAACTTTTTAATCAAGGTACGCTGTTCTTCTGAACAATGTCTAGAACGACCCATTTTCCTCAGAATTTCAGAGAGAAATGCACTGTAACCAGCATGTACATTTGCTGCCTTCCTTCCTTAAATAAGGGCAATAATTGCCACCTGTTTTTCAAAGAATGAATGACCTCACTAATAGAACTCCACACTGCTATTATTTTGAACATGCCCCTTTCAATTAGTGATTCAATTACACAGAATCAGCAGCATGCATGTCATGACTGTTGGGTCTGTTGGATTTCTATTACTCTACTACACCTGCTAATAAATTATTTGCCATGTAGAAATATCATTTCTACCAAAAACAGTGATTGATCAGGTTAGTGATGTCTGACTGCTATTATTTTGAACACAACTGTAACTCCAAAACTTGTAAGAACCAATTGGAATTGTTGTTTTTTTTAAGACCCAGTATGAGAAGGATTATGAATGGTTGCAATGGGTTCTACAGTTTACGCCCCTTTCACATGGGCAGACCATAGAGGGCAATGGATGGTCTGATTAAATCCGCCTAAAAAACGGACCTGATTGGACCATCCATTGCCCTCTATGGAGCAGTGAATGTAAACAGACATGTGTCCGTTCACACCTGTCTGCATCCAGTCAGATCCGATGAAAACAGACGAATGGGGATTCATTCACCATCTGTCTAGTGCAGGGGTGTCCAAACTTTGTAAACAAAGGGCAAGTTTACTGTCCTACAGACTTTAGTGGGGCCAGACTGTGGTTATTGCAAGAAGAAAATGTCCTGGCCCCAGTGGGAGTAAACAATGCCCCATCTTCAGTGAGAGAAATCGTTGGTTTCATTGGTTGGAAAGAATCATACCCCACCATTGGTGTCAATAGGAGGAACTGTGCCCCTTTGTTGGTGTTAGTGGGTGAATTATGCCCCAATGTTGGCGTCAGAGGATGAAAAATGTCCTCAAGGGCCAGATAAAAGCAAGCAAGAGGCCACATCCGGCCCCTGGGCCAAAGTTTGGAGACCACTGGTCTAGTGGATTGGATGACAGTCTGTTTACATTCAACCGCCCATAGAGGAAAGCAGGCTGTGTACGTGTCCGCTCTGCATAAGTGAAGCAGACACTGATTTGCCATCTGTCTGCTCAGAGGAGATCAGCAGACATATAACCCATAACCCTGCTCAGCATTTTAGCTTTACTGCATGACATATTGTATCGTTTCAAAAGCACCCTGCCATTACATCTCAACAGATACTCTTAAAATAAAATGTTTTGCCAGGCTATGGACATTAAAATCCAGATGCTCAACCATTAAGTTCATCCTAACTAATGCAGTAAAGTCTTTTAAGTCAGGACTTGGCACTCTGCTCAAACTCTTTGAGCAAAGTGCACCTGTTGTGTGCTTATAAGAATTTCAAAGGCTGGCAAGGCTGCTGAGTCACTGCAGGGAAGGGGAGCAGAATTAAGTAAACGAAATCCGCAGCCTCTTGTAACGCAAGTGTACGTTAGCCTCACTACATCCGCATAAATTGGGGAGCTCACTGGCAATCTTATTATATGATGAGGTCACTGTCAATTTCTGTGATGAGTAGCAGCAATCAGTCACTTGACAATGCAACGGTAATTTCCAAGCTTTGTGCTTCCTGTAGTATCAGCCATATTTAAACTTTTAGGGCTTGTTCACACCAGATGCAGTCCAGTGCATTTTTGTTCTGCATCAAAAATGCATGCACGTTTTTTTCCCTGTATTCCAATGGCCCTAGCTCAGGGGTGGGCAAACTTTTTGACTTGAGGGCCGCAATGGGTTCATATATTGAACCCGGGGGCCGGACCAAGAGTAGATGAATTATGTGTATGTGTCATCCATAGTAAGTATAGTAATATTCCCCCATAGTAAGCATAGTAATTAATCCCCCATATAGTAATTCATCCCCCATAGTAATTCATCCCCCATATAGTAATTCATCCCCCATAGTAATTCATCCCCCATATAGTAATTCATCCCCCATATAGTAATTCATCCCCCATAGTAATTCATCCCCCATATAGTAATTCATCCCCCATAGTAATTCATCCCCCATACAGTAATTCATCCCCCGTATAGTAATTCATCCCCATAGTAATTCATCCCCCATATAGTAATTCATCCCCCATAGTAATTCATCCCCCCATACAGTAATTCATCCCCATAGTAATTCATCCCCCATATAGTAATTCATCCCCCATATAGTAATTCATCCCCCATAGTAATTCATCCCCCATATAGTAATTCATCCCCCATAGTAATTCATCCCCCATATAGTAATTCATCCCCCATATAGTAATTCATCCCCCATATAGTAATTCATCCCCCATAGTAATTCATCCCCCATATAGTAATTCATCCCCCATAGTAATTCATCCCCCATAGTAATTCATCCCCCATATAGTAATTCATCCCCCCTATAGTAATTCATCCCCCCTATAGTAATTCATCCCCCATAGTAATTCATCCCCCCTATAGTAATTCATCCCCCCTATAGTAATTCATTCCCCATATTAATTCATCCCCCATATTAAGTCCCCAAGTCCCCCCTGTGTCAATTCACTTACCTTTGCTCCGCGCGTTCCTCTCGCCGTGTTCCCGCGCCGTTCCGGTCTTCAGGGCGGACTGTGAGA